TTATATGAGTCAACTCTCAAAACCTACGACAGCCCTCATCCAAAATAGCCGGTAATTCAGTCGACAATAAAATCGGGCACGTGTTATAGCGTTGCATGTACAGTGACTACTCATTCCGCAGGAGTTAAAACACATAGATTCAAAGAGACTGGAAGGCGATCTTGAATAGATAGAAGTGAGGAAGTGGTTGGTAATCAGTAGCCTTGACCAACTTGAAGGCGAAGTGGTTTTCTTTGCAGAATCCAATTATGCGTTGGTGTGTGTGAGAATAATAATGACACCAAATTCAAATATGTTAACCTGGAAACCGCTGCGATATCTCGTCAGATCTTTAAAAGTGATTCGCCATAATGAAACTCAAAGCCGCAGATGAAAGAGATGCGAATGAAAACGTACGAATTCCTTTGCTAAATTCAGTCTTTTGAAATTTTGGAATATAGAAGAGAGAAGCCCACTTACTGCCACTGTGAAAGTTCCCTTAGCGATAAGGTTGCTATAGGTGGATCATTTCAGAGGGAAAGCAGAGGTTACTCTTTTCAATGGATTAGTGTCCAGGCACTGTAAAAGTATCGGAAAGCAAAAGCAGTCAGCGTTGGTGGGAGGGGTTCAGAGTTGGGTTGGGCTGCTAACTAGTTGTTAAATTACGATATTAATATATGTTTTAGTATTAGTTTTGCGAACACTGTTCCATATATCTCCACATAAATACAGAACTGGGTAGTTGCTATTTTTGTCCCAAACTTAGTTATTGGTATAAAATATTTGTATGTTCTAAACATTTATGACATTACTGAAGACCTTTAAGAAAGTGGTACATCATTGTCATCACAGCTTTAGTTTTAATTACTTATCTACCAGAGAAGAGCTTTTTCCTTATCCTATGTCGTCCGCACATTGCAAGTGTGAAGTGAACGTATATTCATGTATTTATTTTATAGTGGTTTTGGTGATTAATTGCGAGCTAGTGCATAAGTTGTTATTTTATAGCCCATGTCTGGTTTGACTAAATTTATAGCAGGTTTCATGTGGTTTTGTCGATTTGCACACTAAAAATATCCAGGAACACGGAGAAGTCCAAAGCCGAAACCCCAGTAATCATCACAAGTAAGGTCGTCAATATGTTAACCGGGGTTGACCACTGAATTGCTTGTGGTCATATTTGTCATGGCTAGGTGTAGCAGTGTATAATATACAGACACACCGCAGCGCACGGTTTTGGAGGACCGAAAACCCATTAAGCTCACTCTAAACCATTGTCATGAACTGATTGAATGTGATCAGTAAATATTGTACCACATGCCATGTCAACACCATGTTTAGTGATACTGCCTCTTAAAACACGTAACGTTATTGATATTTTTTAGCGAAAATATGGTTGTGCTATGCCCGGTAAAGATAACGTTTCGATAAAAGAGAACACGTAAAACATGTGCATTAATTACGAGTGTTACTCGCATTGGGCGGAGGGATGGATTTTAGCAGGAAAGAACCTAATACTTGGTAAGAATAAATTATTTGCTTTTGTCGAACAGGAAGAGACTCTAGGGTTAAAATAAGGAACTCAGTATTAATTAGCTTTAACACACCTCTTGAATATTTAATTATTTGTTGATTCTTGGGTTATTTAAAAACGCTGTCTTAGTTGCAAAGTTGATAAAATGTTGAGGGATCTGTAAGGAAGATTGTCAGTAGTAAATAAGTTAGCATTTGGAAAGAAGCGGTCTGAGCCTACTTGAATCTTTGTTATCTCATTAAAATGTAAGATGCATATTTGAAACGTTTATTACGCGTCGTATATTTAATGAATTACAATAAAAATAATCTGTGCTTTTCTCCAGTGCAACATCTCCATTTTATTCGATTTATTAATAACAGAATGTATTATTGGGGCATGTTCGTTGTTTGAATTGTTTATTAACGTAATAGGGATAGATCTGAAGTTGCAAGAACATCGAGATCGCTGACGTACAAAATATCAAAAAGAATACTAGAAGAATATTTAGGTGTGGGCCTACGTATTGGTAATTATAATAAGCCTTCACATTCTTATATTATAACATTAATAAATAACCCACCGAAGCAACTCTGTGAGAGAGAACAAGTATAACATATACATATTTTAAAGGCTATTTATACGTGAAATATGACAATTGTCAGGACAGTATGATGAGTTAAGCAGACACTAAAAAGACGTTCCGAAGCAAATGGCGCTAATACGGACATAAGTTTTAATAATGCGTGCAAAATAAGAATGGCGGAAGGGAAATTGAGAGTGGATGACTTTTACATAAATTAGGTTGATTCCATCTTTAGAAAGCCGGGCTTTTTTTCTATCGTGTCTCACCTAACAGATTACTGGAATACCCTAAAATCATGGCCGAGTGTTAGTACTCTGCTTCGTATTCAGGAGATCCTAAGTTAAAATCTTGGCCCACACAACGGCTATCCAGTATTTTCGTGGATTTATTCAGTCCCTCCAGGCAGGTGCCTGTATTATACATTAAATTAATCTACTTCCTCATCATGTCGTCTACTTTCCAATTCACTATTCGATGTTCTTTTGTCTGAGTACCATTAACCGAACCACAGCCTAAAAGAGGTTCCTGTAATGCAGTCATTTTTGAGAACCATGTTACAATCTTAACCGTGTTACTCTATACCTTGTTTTCAGGTTTCTTGTAGTTTTTATCAGTCCTAGGTGAATGTCATAATAATACCTTTAATTAATTAGGACGCTAGCGCTTCCTTCCAAATCCTTAACTGTTTTTCATGGTCTTTGTAGATAACACAGCGTCTCTAAAATCAAACTAAATTTTCTGTTGTTAGATATCTTTGATAATATGGACGCGAAAATATAAGACGGCACAAGCTATGAACAAAGTGTTCAGTGTGTTTCCTTACGTGCCAATATTGTAGCCACCAGGCGTCTTCATTCTCATAATCTTAATTAAGAACCTATCCGTTCTGGCGATATTACTGCACCTAAGGCCTTCAAGTCATTTTTAAAGTTTCTAAATGTCTTGGAAGTCTATGGTCTCATGGCGCAGTTACGAGTGGCTCTTCCGTGATGTAAGGACAAAAAGTAAACTTATCTCTGACAGGAAAATCCATGAAAGGCATCGTTATAAATGGTACATATGATGGTAGTTTAAAAAGTTGAATTACATTTTAGAACATCTAATTTGAAATTAATATTTCTATAGAAAATAATCGTATCGTCATGGATATCATTCGGATATAATCTGCTGTCACACGGTTACCACCTGTATGTTGGTCGAAGGCCTTTAACCTTGTCAGAGGCCTGATTATGGAGACAGCAATCACCTCTGAAACGTCGGTAAACTTCTTCCAGATTACACGTCACAACAACCCAGAACACCTGACCCTGATAACCTAAAATCTCATTTGTCAATAACAAACTACTCGCCAATTTTTTGAACAAATTAACCTGTATTCATTGGAGACAGTAATAGGGAAGGTTACGCTTCACCATTTCTCTGTTGCATAGTTTCTCAGCTTTCCTGTTCATGCTGGTCTTGTTGCTTTCGGGGTCTCTCTGTTGGCTTTGCCTTCTGTCACTGCCATTACTCCATTTCCTTTGAAGGAAGGTGCTTTATCAGTAGGGCCTTTCAAGTCGTTAGTGGTTGGTTGGTTGGTTACTGAACGATGCTAACAGAGCCTTATTTGGAGCGCTGTTCACAGTTTGAAGTAGCAGCTCCTGAAATGTCGATATGACATGAAAAATACATTTTGTGACAAAATGTAATTATAAAAGATTATCAGTGAAGATAAAAACATGTTAACGACGTAGCTAACTGATTTACTGAAATGTGCCGTTTTTCTTGCCTGCTATACCTACACCCATTCACACCTACCTGATCTGACTACGCCAATCAGAGGAATATATCGTGCCCTTTTATATGTATATTTTTAACTTTCTTCAATATAACGTGATTTCCCCCAAAAAATTAGTTGTCATGATTTTTGAAGTAACCCTCGTATGAGTCTGCGTAATTGTTTTTAATGATATTACAGAACGTCGTTAAATGAAATCATAGATGCGCTGCTGACACATTGAAACAGTAACTGTAAATCATTTCGATTATTTGCATAGACTCTGTACGATCCTTGAGACAATCAGTTGGAATCTGGACGGGTTATCGCCTGTCTCACAAAGTGAGATTTTTGTATTTTTCTCTCGGTCTGTCAAGGTAAATTTCCGGATGCTACTTTGAGACAGTCCACGGCCGTACATTAAGAATTCGTACCCACTAACCGCTTTCTTTTATTTTTAAATTTAGTTTGAATCGGTGAGCAGCATCGTTGCACATAATATAAGAAACAAGGTTTCAGCCGCACTCACAGAGTCACATTTGAGATGATATGAAATTTATGGTGAGTCTGGAATTACGAGATAAAGTTTGTCAGTAGCAACCTGCTTCGAGATACTATTTCGTAATGAGGAGCTTCATAATTTGTACTCTCCATCAGCCATTATAATGGTGATAAAATCTAAAAGTAATTGATTGGCGGGACGTGTAGTATGCAAGGGGATGATGATGATAAATTCATACAAAATTTTGATAGTAAAATCTGAAATGACGATACCATTTTGGAGACAGATGCACATACGCCTACATGCGAAGGTATTAAAATCTGTCTTGAAGAAATATGCTGTCATGATGAGGATATGATTAATTTGGCTCAGCATAGAGTCCAGTGTCAGGCTCCTGTAAACATGGTAATGAGCATTCGGATCCCATATAAAGTGCGTATTACTATTTCGTGATTAGCTAAGTAACCATCAGATTCTCAACAAACACTCTTTATGTATAAACTTGATCCTTTTATTTGAATCGAGGGAGGAATAAAGCCTTGGTAGCTTTTGTAGTCTCGGGCGGATACCTTCTGAAAGGAAGCAAGTGTGGTAAACAGATTATGTTTACACTTTCTTTGAGACTTAACCATTGTAACATGTTTGTAACTAATGCATGTTCCAGTTCCTGGCGCTGGGCACTGCTCTGATGACTTTGTGTTCGGCCACACCTCCAGCCGGTTATCTGAAGAAACCTGACAATGACAAGGTAAGCTGATACCTCTGTCTGCATCTCATTTCGGTATCACGAAGTAGCAGGCTATGCCAAAAAGGAGAACGCCAACCACAGATTACTAGGCCATCGTAGTATGTGCACAAGCAGCTCAGAAATGAACTGAAGTTTATTTGTAAAGCTTTCTGAATTTGTGTATTTACGTTTGATCAGTTCCGAATGAAAGTTGCTGTTCCTTGCATAACTGTATGACGGCATAAAGCTATCTCGAGTAAATATATTTATTTACGGTCGACGTAAATAATATTGTTATTACGAATAATAACAGAAATCACTTGGAGTAATTATACATAACTGCACATTAATCTCTATTATCGTCACACACAATAAGATAAATGATAATTATATTGTTTTTCGCCGCGCCTTCTTCCATAGACGCTCCTGATTTGTTATAGGCCCGTATCCGCTGAAGTCTCTTGTACCGAATGTCATCGCCGTCGAGTGGTTAGCACTCCTGCTACATATTCAGAGATCCGGGAATTAAATCTCAGCCCCGAGAATGGTTATGCTTGCTGAGGTGTTTTATGGTTTCCTTCCAGTATCTTAAATCAGGCCACGACCGCTTCATTATGTATGGTTTCCAATTCATTTTTCATCCTGTCATTCAGCATTTGAGCTACTGACGACTCTAAACAAATGGTAAATGAAAAAAATAGTATTTAATGTTGTGTAATTAAACAAAGTTCGTCAGGAGAACTGCCAATACCGCCAATCAAATTTAAATAAATTTCCAGATTTGAGTTTGCGCAGATGTTTCTTTTCTGAGTGCAAATTAAGGGACTAGCAAGTTTTTCAAACAGCAAAGTATCTCATTCATCAAACTGACAATGGTTAAACTCCATTACCAGCCACTTGCATGTCTAAGTCCCATGAAGCTGACAGTAGCTTAGTTAGTCAAGAAGCTCTTCATTTCTTATGAAACCCAAATATTCATTACCGTGTCCACAAGAGCCCGCAAGCTGTCCCTACTTTAAACCTAATTAATACAGTCCACACCCTACCAATCGAATTCCCTAAGAACAATTTTAATATTGTCCTCACAAAAAAATAAAGTCTAATAAATCCGTATTTCGTTCTCTCTTAACCACTATTCAAAATGCAGAACATCGCCTCAAGAAACCTCATTAGTATTCTGTTTGTCTTTCAATGCCAAATGTGGATTAAGGACAGAGACCTCCCTCAACTATCGGGCATGTTGTATATCGCGGTATCTCGCAGTTTAACGCCCTGGTGACTTGGTGACTTGTAAAAGAGAATTCATTCGACACGCCCCAACAAACCTGTTAAATTTTATAATATTTACTTGAAGGTTTCTGTCAGTAAATCAGACCATTCAGCGTCGAATGATTGGATGATTAATGAATAACGAATTGGAAATTAACCTACATGTAAGGAAGCGGTTGTATCCTAATTTATGATATTATCTCAGGAAATTCTTTGTGTTACATGATTCAGACCAGAGGAAGGTGTATGACTAGAGTAATTAAATGACATATTACCACAGGAGAGAGACACCAGCTTGTAGAATAGACCATTCATTCTAAAGATTCGCAGGTTAACGGCGACTGGTTTACTAGAGTTTAATATGGGTTGATGTCGACTTTATTCTGCTCAGGAGTGGATGTCCTATCTTCTTTAATGCTGCAATTTAAACGCAAAGAACGATGTACCATGATGGAGTAGAAGAGATCGAAAAATAGTCCCAAATCCTCTTTATGATTTTGCTGTAAGGGATCAATAAATTTTATCCTCCAGTACAAAAGAATAAAAAAGCGTCGATGAATGTTCAGAACTTCTATGGGCTAGTAACGTCTTCCTATTTTTTAACATAAAAGTCACTCTCACAAAACTTGTCTCGCCATTTAAGGCATCATTGCTCTAGAAAGTATAACGAATGTAGGACGCACAGAACCTGTAGAAGTAGTCCTGCCTCTGATCTTAACGATGTGATTTCATAAAGTGCCTCAGGAAACTCTAAAAAAAGAAGTTTGTTGACCTTGATGAATCCGGTTTGTCAAGTGTTGACTTTTTCAAGTTCAAGGCTCATTAAAACTTTCCGTTTTTTAAGCATTGATATGATTCCATTACAACTGTCCATTTCTTTAGAAATACATTTATGCCGGATTCGAACTGTCCAATTTTATTATAGTGATTAAATCTGGTAGAATGAGTTGGTTAGGACATAGGAGATTTGGCAATTGTAATTTATCCGGAAAGCCTGATAGTATCAGACCACTTAATAAACTTCAGCCTGTGTGGGGAGATAGTATTAATACGGATCTTTTATAAATGGTATAGTGCGGGCTGTATTTATTTGGATAACCACGGATACCACTGGCGGGCTCTAGAGATCACGGTATTGAACAAACTGGTTCTGCAAAAAGCGAGAAATTCCTGAGTTAAGAATTAGCTACTCAGTCAAACTGCTTCAATGAGTCAACGTCGCGTGTATAATATGCATAGTAGTTCAACGGTTCTCAAAACGTGGCAACGAACAGGATCTTTTGCTGTTTGTGACGATTGTCATTTCCTTCTACAGGTGTGTACAAAGATGTCTTTTTAGTTGACTGTGGCAATTGTGTGTGAATGTGCACCATTGATTTAACAGCACAAGACTAGCAGCGGACGGTCGATGTGATAGACGACTCTTGGAGTAATATTTGTAAATACATTTTGTTACTTCCTTTAGCTTCTTCGTGAATAAAGATCAGTCTGGAGGTATTTTATTTTATGTTTCATCATGTTTTGTAACATAGGGATTAAGTCAGGGCCACAAAATCGGTACTGGTAAAAGTGCACAGCTCCGACCAATCCTCCTGTCAGTTAAAACTTCATTTACGTAATTGCTTCCCAAAATAAAGACGTCTATATGACTGAATAAATATATTAATGAGTAACATCACTCATATATATTCGTTGTTTAGTTATTTAGACCTCTATTCACTCGGTCTATTTTGTCTGATTTATAAAACCACTCTCGTAGCTGTAACCCACAAAAGATAAATAAAATACATAGTAAATAACAACTCGAATACAAAAACTTGTAATGAAGCTGAGAACACACTCTGTATACAAGTGATGTCGGCCCACTTTCACATTAAAAATTGTCGCCGAAAGAAATTAATTACAATAACGCATTATAAGTGCAAAGTAGAAACTACTGCTGCTGTGTGGTACTTAAATATCTCATCTCACGAAAACTATGTTATTGAAATCCAGATTTCCATTTTTCAATAATACCAAGAGACAAATCAGGATTTTTCATGAGTCTTCAAACAAAAAACTTTTATAATTGTCCCAGCAATTAATATACTCAGTATTCTTCGTTCTGCTTAAAGGAAAAGTCAATTAACATTTTCAGTTATTTCTATTATTCATTTTCTTTTCGAAGTCGGATCCAAATTGATTTTACCCACTGAGTAGACTACCCACATTATACCGATTTTTGAAGTACCTTCGACATAATGGTGTTACTGTCACCGGACACCATTACTGAACAAGGCGAGACAATAGTAAAAACACCATAGCAGTAGCTATTTCTGAATGGCGCTAACAAATGTGTATAATAAAATAGTAAAAATGAGTTGCTTACCGGATTTGCATAAAACTCGTATAAGTTGTGCAAAGTATGCATAATTGTGTAAAAAATATTTTTAGGACTTCATCCATTTTCTGGATGTTTTAAAACCACACCATTTCGGTAGTTAGTTACAAACGATAAAAAAAGTTGCATCATTGTCAGAAATCTTCAAACTTCGGAGATACCTAAGTATGTGTATTTAAAGATTTATTTGGATCATTTGTTATACAGGAAATACATATTCAATTTTCAATATTAGTAGTAGCTTTTGTATTAATCACATTTTTATTATAATTCGTGTTGGATGAAGAGACAGTAGCGTGTTAGTTACTCGTTTAGTGTTGTCCTAGACTTACACACGATTTAATATGAACCTAAAAACACCAATATAAATCGTTTAAAGAAACGTCAGTTGTGTTGTTCTACCCGGTGTGAATGTATAAATACACGATTACTGACATACATGCGAGCGCCAGAAAAGAGAGTGGGGTTACATTAACCACAGGCTGCAAAACCTATAGCTTTCTAGAGATTAAAGTACTGAATAAAGTTATTCGCCTTCAGCAGTGCTTGGCAGGAAAGGAACCCAAGGCAGTGTTAGGATAATCCAGCGACGATTTCAGGCAGATGAAATGACTCTACTAGTGAAGACTCACGTCTCTTTTCATGCAACATAAAACCGACTCATAAGAAGCTATGGAGTCGGGGAATAGGGTTGTAGCACCCGTCGCAAGATGTCGCTTAATAAGAGAGCCTGGCATCTTTACAGTGTAAACCCGTGGGTAAGGTCGCGCGCTGAACTTTCTGCACAATGCAGCTGTAACAAGGTCACTTGATGCATCAACACAGCTCCACAACGAATCATGTTTTTGTTACAAAGTTTGATAACACTGAATACACAATATTGATTACTAAATTACAGAATCAATAAAACAAAATAACCAATACTGTTTTTCCTAACAGTTCTCAATTTAGGAAATATGCCTTACTGACAATTTTACGTGTGTTTCTTTACGATTCGTAGGTTAGTTTATATCATTACACAAAGTGAAGCACAATTCCAGTTCAAAGTAAACTACTGTTATGTTGATCAAGACTATTTTAACATTGTTAGTTTGAATACATGGCTACCATGTTTCACTGCAAGTGCTTCTCATTAAATTAAGAGGTTTCAAAGTAGCATTGTCTATATTGAATTACATAACGTCAGAATCACATTCTGATCATATTTGTTCTCACTCCAAAAGACGTGGACAAACAGTGAAATTAAAATGTTGGAACGTCATAAATAGATTACCAAATACAAGCAGGTACAAGTTCGTAAAAATTAAATGGTACTTTCACGAAATATTTATAAATCACTCAGAATCGTTTCGACTAACTTAACGTTCAGATTACGTAACCATGCGATGAAATACTGAGACGAATTTGTAAATTATAAGAAACTTATTATTCCTGTGTTTTTCTTATTTTGTGCTCGTAAAGATTGAAAACAATTATGACAACTAGTTACTAGCACGTGATTTGCATAGAATACTAGCAGAAACAAAATTCACTTCGGAATAAAGTCAGCCGTACAATGTACATGTATAGTTCAAGTATGAGTGATGATTCGTTCAAGAGTACCAGTGAAAAGTAAATTAAATTACATAATCTAACGTAGAATATGAAAAGGTAATTTGTAAATTTATGTTATTTTTACCGATTTTGATGAGCATGAAGTAATTCTTCCCATACAGAAACAAAACTGTCGCAGGTACAGTAGCTCCGTACAACTTTAAAAATAACTTGATGTGTTTTTATTCAGGACCCGCCAAAATACGAATTTGGATACCACGTACGAGACGGGAAAGGCGGTCGCCAAGGTCACCTGGAAACTCGTGACGGGATATACGCATTAGGACTGTATTACGTGACCCTGCCGGACGGGAGTGGACAGAGTGTGCGCTACTTTGCCGATGACTGGGGTTACCACCCGCTGGTATCCTACACCAGCTCCACAAAGACAGGCTCCACAAAGACCCACTTTGCTCTCGGCGAAAAGGCAGTCGCTGCTCTGGCTAGGTCAAAAGAATCTAATTCTTTGGTACGTATTGGAATGTACTGAAATTAATTGCACGAATTCTGATTCGTCATTTATGGAATCAAATGTTTCATTGCCACATTGTATTTTTCAGATATCAGCGACTAGACCGACAGCGTCAACGGTGAAAAATTCAGTGTTAAAACTATCGAATGGTGTGGGCAGTGGGGACTCAGACACGGGAAACAGTCAGAAGATTATACCCGGTTCTGTGGATCTGTCTTCCAATAGAGTTGTAAAACCCGGAAGTAAATCATCATCTTATCAGCACGCGTCACAACCCTCCGAACACCAAGTTGACGTATCTGATATAAACAACATCGTTGATTCAAACGGAGGATCAGAAAATGGGGAATATGAGGTCGTTACTCCCCTTTATTCGCCATCACAACGCTTAACAAGTTCAGGGTCTCCTAGTTCCTTTCTGACGTCTGAACAGACTTCTAATTACGAACCTGGACAAGAATTTCAACAGATCAGCACTAAAGGAGTCGGTTCTTATAGTTACCAGTTAATTGAAATTGGAGGTGATTCATCCGGCAATAAAGTTTCTGGATCATTGTCAACTGTGTTTTTACCATTATCATCTAAAACAGTTAATACTGAAAGTGTAAATTCATCTCGGGACGAAAATGGCAACAATTTTAAAGTAACATCCCACGTGAACAATAAGAATATTGCCCTACAATTTGGTGACAAAATTCCGAACGTGGGTTCGGCCTTTATTCAAACAGTCTCCAGCGTAGATCAAGATCAAAATGACATATACAAGGAAAAAGAATATATTTTTAAAGACACATCACCTCCGGCACCACAACGTCATTCTGTATTACGACCAATTATTGTTGCTGAAATATATCCAAAGGAACGAGACAAAGAAACAATTCAATCTGTAAGGCCCATTGTTATATTACCGTCGACAACTGCTGCAACGATACATGCATCTCATTTCCCAGAATCAACTTCATCAATTTCACTCCCAGGTTCAGGTGAAGCACAGTCAGGTTCCATTGTTTCCAAAAAGCTTAAAGCCATCGACGAATATTCAACGCCATCAAACACCTTATTACATTCTCAGGACGGATCACTCTCATATTCGTCGGGATCTGAAAGTATTTCCCAATCTTTAGGGTCAGTTAACAATGACAGACTTGCTGGTCACATCGTTTCTCAAGTATATTCAACTCCAAAACCCGTCTTGCTGTCACACATTAAGCAGACAACTGCCTCTGTTTCTTCTTCTGGGCTTGAAGGCAGTTCATCAGAATCAGCTTCCTTTGCCGATGGAAGACACACGGCTCATGCCGAACCACTTGTTCATACAACTCCAGTACCAGTGTTCTTGTCGTATTCACATGGCAGTTCAAATGCACAGCAAAATGTATCCCCTTTGGTTGTTTTGTACCCACCAGCATCATCTTATTCACACATATCGAGCTCTACAAGAAGTGGAACAAACGGCGATGTAATTACTGGGGTGTACTCAACCCCGACACCCGTATCATTGTTACAGTCACAGGAGTTTTCATCTTACGCATCAAACAGATCCGAAGAATATCCCCAAAAGGAGTATACTACGACAACCGACAACGGCGATTCACAGCGGGTTATTGAAAGCCAACCCTCGAACCCAACTTCAGTTTACATATCGCATTCACCGAAATCGTCTTCATTTTCTGTATCTGATTCTGGTGGAAGTTCTCAGGTTTCAAGTTCAATTACTGCAACTAGTAATGGTAACTCTGGCCATATCTCTGGCAGCGGTATTTTCTCAGCAACTTCTCGACCTCCAGTAGAATCTAATTCCAATTCTGAGTTGTCTTTGTCTGGACATATTTCCAGTCCTGCAATTTTACTCAACTTAAATTCACAGCCCATTTCAACGACCCTGACATCTTCAATTAATGTATTAGCTCCGATACAAGCCGGGGTGTCATCAGGCTTAAAACCTCACCAACAGTTAACAGCAGTCTCTGACGTTCCTTCCACGCCTGAGGCAACGCCACAGCCACCCAAAGTAAAAGAAGATATAGATGATATTCCACAAACAAACACTGTCGTTGAAGTTGAAAAAGCAGTTTTACTTGACTTTAATAAACTTCTTCTTAAACCTGATGGAGAAAACAAGGAAAATGTTGGGGTCCCTGCATCAGCAGTGCCAACAGCAAACGCACAACAAGTAACAGAAAGTAGAAAACAAGTTGACCAAATCAGTGACCAGCAACAGATATTTTCAGGAAATCCTATTGAGTATGTTTATGGTCAGCCACTGACTGGGTTACAGGCATATCCCCAAATAGGGTATAGCCTTCCTCGTCTAATTGGATCCACTGAACAATTGTTATACGGATACAACTTGCCAAACTTCGATGTTCAAAAGCCCACTCATTTCAGTTACAATCCCAAGCAACAGTTTCATAGCGGAGTGGAGCTACAAGCGCCATATCAACAGTCATCTGAAAAAGGCAAAGAGAAGCAACAAGAAGAAGAATACGCTCATAAACAAGCGAATGGACTACTGCAAACAATACCGGAGTACCAACAGCAAGTAACAGAATTTGAGAAGGTGAGAGGAAAGTACCAGCACGATCAACGATTAAAAATACAGTTGGAAGACGTTTCACAGTCTCGTCTCCAAAATGGCGTTAATAATAAGCAATTAGCTGGCGGGGGACGCCATATTTTCGGCCAGCAATTGCCTGGAGTGACACAAGCGGAATCCGGATACAGTCAACGGCCAGTACAACCGGAGACTGAAGTTAAACAATATCAGGCTCCTGAACAAATTAGTCAAGAAATAACATACCAGCAACCTTTGGAAATAAGACAGCAAACACAATACCAGTCACCTACAGAAATTAACCAACAAGTACTATACCAACCATTAGGTCAACAGATAGGTTACCAACTACCCATCGAGTTTAACCAGCAAATAGAATTTCTGGTACCCACAAAACTTAACCAACCGATTCAACAAGCTGTAAATACTGTAGGAGTGCAGTCCAGTTATAATCAACACACAAATATCTTACCAGAGCTTACCCAACAGACCACACCAACAAGTACACAAGCGTTGGAAGTTAGCAGTCAAACAATAAATCTGGGCCAGCCCTCGTATAATAGAAAACCTGACCAAGAGTATAATCATCAGTTATTAGAAGAAGAAATGCAGGAAAAAGTGAGATTTAGCAACCAAATAAGCAAGGACTTGAAGCAGCTACATGTTGATTATAATGAAGGCAGCGTGAGAACACAAGTTCCAGTAAATACATTAAAAGAGGAAAAGATTTTGTCTTTGCCTGTGGAGTACCCTGCACTGCCTCCTCCTGCCGTCGTCCATCTGAATCGTCCTCAGGCAGTGTTGAAAGTGGAAAAATCAAAGTCGACAGATAATACTAGGCTGATAACAGTTGTGAAGCCTGTTCCAGTACACCACACTAAAGTGGTTGAGAAACCAATCCCTGTTCCTCATGCAGTCCCTGTTGAGGTCACAAAACTTGTGCCTGTTGAAAGACCAGTGCCGTACCCACATCCAGTCCCTGTCCCTTATGCTGTTCCTCACCCCATAGAAGTACCTGTACCCCATTTGGTCCCTTATCCCCACATCGTTCCTGTCCCTTATAAAGAACTACATCCGGTCTTCTTTCGTAATGATAAACCTTACAAGAACGACTTATCATTGTACCACTATCAAGTTCAAAACTTCCCCAGTAGCACACCGTTACCTGTCATCTTAAAAACTTTGCAGTACAATGGAGGAAGATACGGTGTCCCAGTGTCTATAAAGCCTCAACATTTTCACCCTTCGCCCGTTCCACAACCTGTGTACCTCACGCCACCTCCGCTGAAGGTCAGCGGAAGAGGACGAGAACTCCAACAGACCAAGAATCTTGATCATTTCCGGACTCTTTGTGTTGAATATGGTTTTAAACCTCCTTTAGTGCCATCTGTACAAATTTACGATGTACCTCCATCGGCATATGGACCTCCGAAGAAAGACTGAATGCATTTGTACACTTATTAATTAATGATTTAATTGTTATAAGGTCACCGTACATTTTAAGTAAGTTATACACTGACATGTATCGAAACTAACCAAGTGATCTGTTTTTAAAATTCTGTCGTTTATGACATTCTCGACCAAACATGACTGGTTGCATCAAAGACGTGAGTATATCTTATGAGCTCTCTACTTTTGTTTATTCTTCTACTGAACACAGCATACAACTGTAGTTTAGAGAAATTAAATTATCTCGTATAATTCAAATGCAGCGTGAAATTCTTAATTTTCTTAGGCAAAGGAAATTATCACAAAAAATATTGTAGAAAAATATGTGTTACGATTATACTGCATAGGCCTATTGTTTATATGATTTGTTAATTATTTTTGTAAATATGTGTACAAACAATAATGTACATATACACATTTCGAAGGAATGATTTAATTAAATTTAGCTTACAAAAGATAAGCTATAAAATAACCGAAGCCACATCCATGTCATTCTGTCCTTAGCGGTGCTGGGTAAGAAACACTACTAGAAATATTCGTGATGTCATCGAATAATTGATATGTAATATTTTACAACAGCCATTCTTTAGCTATGTAGTAAAAGTAACACAAGGGAATGTGTGGAATAAGCATAATACCTATGTAATGTTTATCCATTTGTAAATACACTGACAATATTTAGAAATTTTTTCGTAAAAAATGTTGGACAGAAAGTTGTTTGAAGTGCAATTAATAAAGTGTGTAAAAGAGAGAGATAAATGTGGGAGGAATGGAAGAGAGAGAAAAACGGTTGATACAAGTTTAAATTGAACATACTACAAAGATTTAAATTATACTAACCGGGAAATTATATCCGAAAGTACACAAATGCGTGGAGACTGTGAACCACATAAACATATAATTTAAAAACGAACATAGTTACAAATTTTGTGTTCCCTCTTTTTACTTTTAAGGGAAGACCTTCTGGGAGTTGAAGCCATTCTGTAGAAGAGAGACTAACGGAAAGAGTCAGGCGGTTTCAAACCCATTTACGTCCACCGTAAACACGTGTTTCACTGAAACAGAAAGGTAATAGGCAAACGCATCGTGGGGAGTGCGTAATATGAAATGACGTAGCTGAAATGGGGGAGCGAAGCAATTTTTATTTAAAGTGACGTTTAATTGTTCCGAAATGCTCCCACTGTGATTACGGGATGCATGCACATTTGTCTGTTAGAGCGTCCATTTAAAGCCTTATGTACATGTTTGCTATATACTTCCTATTTGTTTTATAGCTGTGTTTGTACGTTGTGTATGATGTTTGTGACATGTAATGCTGTACAATCATGATTGTCTGATTTTAATTTTAAAGTTTTAAATCTACATGTCACATAATAAATACTTTTAGCATATGTGTTATGTTTAGAATAAAATTCTATAAATAGTTTCAAGGATTTGATTGCTAAATGGTCATTCTGATGTGATCAAATCTGGAAGGAATATATTTTATATTATAGAATAATTTTAAGTTGAAAGAGTTTACTTGTCTTCAGTCAGTTTTATTCCGTAATTTAAATGTAATTATATTACAGATATCGTAACGGTTCGGCGTAGGTTTCTTCAAAACATTTTACCAGTGAAACATCTGTTTCATATGTGCACATATAGTCAACTGAATGCTGATATAAAGGAATAAACTGATTTCGTTCGGGGTTATTAATGAATCAAGAGAACAAATGACTCCGAACAAACGTTATACTTAATGGTTGATGGTATGGGAATAGTAGTCGGCTGGTCTTTTATTTGTAACATTCAAAACTTTTGTTTATTTTGACCGCAACGCCATGTGCTGGAGCCAGATACAAATTCCTGGATATGAGCAGGAACCAAGCGAAGCTTAAATACTCATTCTTATATATAAAAATGTGATTTTCAAAATGAAGCTGTTTTGGGTTTTTTTATAAAGACAATATGTTGGAGCACGCATGGTCTTATTTATACTTACCACAGTATTTCCTTCATAATAAATTAATCATTAGTGTTCAAAGTCTGGACGACCATTTCGCTGTACACACAGTACTAAAAATTAATATATTAAAATTATGAAACGATAATACATAATTCAGAACCACTTAAAATATTTTAATTCTTTAAGAACAAAATAAATGCAAAGTGATATACAATTAAAATATGGTCATGTGTTGTGCCCTTTTTAAATTACCGCTATTTTATTTTTCCCTGGTGGTTGTTTCTGTAACTATCCCAGGTTTCGGTTTAAATAGTTCTAGTTCCGCATTTTGGTGTTCAATATTATTTTTTTAGATAAATGACTCATAACCGACTAATCAACGTAAGAAAATGATTTTTTTTATTCTTTAGTTCTTTATTTCTGTATGTATATATATATATATATATATATATATATATATATATATATATATGT